TCTCTTCACTATATCCTAGTGTTCCCTGCCTTCTACATAGAAAATGTAGATATATATTTTTTAAAAATCAATTTTCTAAAAGCACTGAATAGCGTGTTATAAAAATGTGATGAAATCAGGCCTAGTTTTGCGACCGTATCTATAGACGTGGTGAGTTATTTCATTCCTAAACAATAGAAATGAAACTAACACAATAACTTTTCAAAAAATAAATAGCTTTACTTTGGTACTATTTAAGGATTCCTATTTTTTGATAGGATTTTTCTGATATAAATTCTAAAGTAAAATTGATGCCGGTTTGTGTTTATGTATACATATAGGAGCAATATCTGTTAAAAAGTGAGAAAATGTCTTATAAACAAATTTGAATATTGTGTAAAAACTTAGTATATTTATTTGAAAAATTTATTCTAAATGGTTAAATGTCCGTTATACATTATAAGTATAACAGTATAAACTAATCGAGTTTATTACATAACAAGTATAATGTGCCTTAATAGTGGAATTAACTAATTAAATAAGTCAAGACGTTTCTATTACACATACACACTATAGACATTTTTTTCTCTATAATTTGCATTTTATACACGCTAGTGTGTGAACGTAGACTAGGTGTATATTTAGATTTTTGTCAGAATTTGTGAATACTCCAATAAAATTACGAATATAATACAATTACTTAAAAATTTTATATTCAGAGTATGTCAAGACGCTATGTTAAGTTTCACCAACGCGTAATTCGACAAATAATAGCGATTTACTTTAAATATTATAGTTGTTTTATTTGGGTTAATTTTTTTTTTGAAAAAAGAATTAGCCCCTCCACACCCCGTAAGAATAATATCAGGTTGTGCATTTGGTAATAAACCTCTATTAATTATTAATTTTTTAAATCTAAAATTACGATTAATTTAAATCATAGTTCATAAATGTAACGAACATTATTTAAAAAATATGAAACAGGACTAAAGTTATTTTACTTGTCAAGACATTCTAGATTACCAGCTATATGTATGTATTGTAAGGATTTTCCCTTTGTCACCGCCAATATGATTTACATATGACATGGTGAATATACAAAAGTTTTTTATATATAAGTTATAGTTTCAAATGTAAATTTTGTTAAATGTGTACTCGCATGGATATCAAATATTTTATTAAAATAGCAAAGTGTAGCGCATTTGTTTATGTATCGTAAAACGTCCACAACATTATTAACACATAATATTATGAATTTTAAACTAACGAGGTTTATTCTAATTATAATGAAATTATAAATATAAACCAAGAACAGTAAAAAAACTTCAACATTAAAACGCAACACGACATTAACGAAAAATGTACCCCACGAGTAAGTTACCTCACTTGAATACACTTTCAAAATTATTTTTCTTCCCATTTTGTTGCAAAAGAAAATGTTTTGAAGAAATTCTACGATAGATTAGTTAAATATTATAAATATCATACGGCTTTGTCCGTAAAATAATTATTGATTACTTAGCCCGACAAAAAATAAAACTGGGCAACAGCGAAAACGTGAAAATCGTGGCTTGTTGAAAAGTAATCGCCTATTGTTGTAGCTATTTTGCTTTGGATGCGGAAGTTAGACCGTATTAATATATTTTTTTCCTAACCTAGAAGCCACATACCAGTGCTGCCTCTGGATAATGTGTTATACACCATACCAATGGCGAGTTCGAACTCTCTCTGCTTATCTGTAGCGCGTTGGCGGTGGCACAGCGGTTTAATGGTGTGCTCACTGTCGGGTATTTCATAACATCTGCTTTAGCCGCCTTTCTTTTTATCTAATTTCGAAAGCTACTCGTGCAGTAATTTATGACTGCTTTCTCGAAAACAAAAAAAAAAGTGCACTTATGATGTTTCTACTTCGGACCTTTACTTAAAACCGTTGTATAACAAACTCTACATGAAAGTTTATGACTTTTATTTAGATATCATTCGCATTTCAATTATTATTGAATAAAATGAACTAGTAAGTAACATACTAGCCGATAAAGAGAAAGTCAATCTAGAAATAAATTCTGAAATATTTAAAAAAAATTATTGGATACATTTTGCATACAAAAGAACAATGTTGGTAAGCAAAAGGTCTACTTTAAATAATCGAGAGACGTAGCTTTTGAGTGAAATAGATTTCGTTGTTGAATTTGTGCTAACTATGAAACTTAGACATCTCATTCTCTCATTCAGAAAGATTTAAAATTTCACAATCATTTACTTTCTACAATAGTTATTGTTTTACAAGTTTTCGCCAAATACAAGAATCCGAGATATTTAAATATCTGATAATTTCTCATCGCGTAGTACAATACCTTACTAACTCATTTCTCTGATTACCAATCTATTATGCTATTAACGTAAATATACTACGTAAAAGCGTATTTAGTTTTGAACCAAATTCGCGTCAATAAAATTAAGCTCAAGAATCAGCAAAAAATAAATTTCTCTTCTTAGTTTTAAAGCTAGTTGTTTTAAATAGGAATTTGCCTATTGAAAATAAAAACCTTGGATTCATTTCGGTAAGGTTGAAAAATTTAATGAGAACAACTAGATAAAGATGACGTTCTATTAATGATTGTATTTAATGACTTTCTTAAATGAGAAAAAAAAGTACAATAGTGTTTATAAAAAGATTAAACGCGTCAAAATAAAAAAATTTACAAATTTGTGTATTAGTAATAAAATACCTATTATAAATAGGCTTTCACACGAAAAAAAGTAATGGTACATTTACACAATAAGTAATTATTTACTTGTGATAACAAGTAAAAATAAAGGCGCATAGCCTATATCAAGTTTTGTAGAACAATAATTTTGTATAATGAATTAAACGACGTTAGACTACTGTACTCAGTGCCACGTGTTTTTACCGCCACGTGCAGCACTATCGTCGTCCAACATGGTTCATTGGGAGAATAAAGTCCTTGTAAAGTTCGATCGTCTTCATTGTGATTTAGCCTTGTGTACAATTGTTATACGATGGCGTTCTTTTTCTTTTTAATTTTTAGTTATTGTAAACGCATTAGACCAGAGTCGTTACGGCGCCACTTGTGAGAGGGGGATCAGGGTAATACATCCTAATTCACTTTCACTCTTACGAGTAATTTATTTTTTCATTTCTTTCCTTCTCGTTTTTATAAATACTAAACTCCCCTTCCTTCCACTCAACGACCATATAGTTTATAGTCAATTCGTAAACATTTACTCCGATTACTGGATAGAGCTCCAATAAAAATAAAAACTAAACAATTAAATGTGAACCCATTTACCTAACCTCTATTAATTCTCTTTTCCTAAATATTATTTAATTTTAAATTAATAGGAGTACCACTACCGATGATACCGTAATAATTAATAATTCGTTGTTGTTCCCATTATTGACAACTTCCTCAAGAGAAACTATTTAGAAACATAATCATTACACTGACACTATTTACTATCACTATCTCACGAGGCTTAATCAAAAAAATAAAAGTTTATGTGTAGACAAAAGTGATTATATATGAAGGAAGGTATAGGATAAATGACCATTTTATTTTTATTTTGATTTTATGGTTTGATTTGATTGCCCATTAGCAGTAATACCAAGTAATGAAATGTACATGATGAAAAAAGTTTTCTTTTTTCTAATATGTAAGTGTCTAGTTTTGTTTTACTATTAAAACTAAATTTATAACTTTATTTTTGCTATTTGGAAAAATGTACAGAAATAGACTATTAACGTTTTCACCCGTATCCTTCATATTTTAACGACCAATTTAATTAAAAAATCTATATATCTAGTACTTCTTTTAAATTATTTATGAAGATAAATATACTTTTTAACACAAAAATCAAAAACTAAATGAAAAAATTCATTTTTACTAATCAATAAAATACTACAGGAATATAATTAAAATTAAGTAAATACAGATAACAGAAATTAGAAAATTATGAAAACAAAAGGAAAACACGTTAATTAATCGCTTAGGAAATCCAGCTCTTATTTAAAATACAAATTACAATCTGCTTACAAATTATCTATAAAAGTTTTATATATTTGAAGATTTACTTTGTAAAACAATATAATCTCTACAAATTTTACCATAATTCATTTGTTAAATTGATTTAAAATAATTTTAGAAAATTTTTAATAATATCATTAAAAATTCTTGAAAAGGAAGTTTTGAGAACGACTAACCTGAGATAGTAAACCTAATTACCTGATTACATCAAAATAAAATCATATTTTATTTATATAAAAAAAAAATATCATTAAAAAAAAAAAAACATGTATGTACATAAAATATATTCTTCTTTTTATATAAACAACGTACATAATATTTAAAATTAATAAAACAATTACTTAATATAGACAAGTGGGTCATTAAGAATGGGATAACATGGGAGATTCTCCAGAACAAATTTATTTACATAGCAAAGACAATTGTTTTCATTTGGAGGGGTAGTAAAAAATTTTCGTATGTTATTCCCTCAAAATAAAAATTTAAGCCACTGAATGTACATAAAATCTCATTAAATTCAACTTTTGTTCTAAATGTAAGCGTAATTAATTATTAAAATACAATATACAGATTAAAATTAATTGTTGAATTAAAAAATAAAATCATAAATAACAAAACGATAAATTCAAATGCAATAACTTATAAAATATATATAATTTAATTATGTTAAGTATAAAAATATTGCTAATTATTGAAAATAATAGAAAATTTTAAGTATCTTTATGTACTTAGAAAATCCTAATATAACGTATACAAAAGTACTAGACAGCTAGTACAAATTTGAGTTATAATTAAGGTTTCTTTTTAGATATATAGTTAATTATAATAAATTACTATGTGGCATAGTTGAAAATTTATTACATACAATTCAAGTTGTGGACATTAAACTTCTGATAAATATTTTTTATTTAAATTTAATACCAAGGTTATACGATTTACGACGAATGTTACATAAAATACATTTCTATTTTCTAATAGTTATCTGTAGTGATATTGCATTGGTCGACATCACTGGTCGATCAATAGGGACGAGAAACGAAATCAACAAAAAAAAAAAAACAAACATGAACAAGTAACTAATTGTAACTCTGGTACAGCTAAACATAATGGCGTAATCGTTAGAGTTATCAGTAAGAACTTTATAAATTTTAATTTGTGTATACGCAAGTGAATGGATCACAGTTTCATAAGGTTTGCATCTAATGATTACAATAAAAAATTTACATACATTTCATTAAACGCAACTGACAATAAACACCGAAAAGGATGATTAAAATAACTAAAGTGTTCTTTCATTGCAGCTGCTCTGACCCGTTTGACCTCGCCGTATTATTAGGGTCAAAACATACACAACTGGTGTCTGTTCTTGGTCGTTTTAAAGACCACAAAATAAAAAACATGGCGATAGTCTTATGGTTTATACCAAAGCAGTTGTTCGTTGTGCTCACTATAGACGTAAGTAACGACTAATATCAAACCTATTGGATGGTAATTTATTTAAAAACAAAATAATTAATGATGAAATTATTCAATTTACTTTAATAAGTCAAAATTAATAGTATAAAAATATATGAAGACTTGGAATCATTAAAATATAATAGTCAAAAAGTTGATTTCAGTTATTTATTATTTCTAAAATTAAAAAACCGTAACGTATGCTATACACATTATAATTCCAATAAATTTTATCTATTAATTTAAATAAAAAAACAGAGTACGTTGAACAAGCTGTATTTAGCCTTTAAAACATTTTTTGGAAATTATTTTTCAATTTTTCTGCACATAGTAGTTATTGTCTTAATTTTATATTGCTTATTCATATGATTAAAACTAAAAATTAATATTAAACAAAAAAAGATAAGCAAAATAACATTTTTTTTGTCAAAAATAATCATTTCTTATATTTTATAAGAGTTTAAGCTTTATAAGACAACTAACATAATTAACTAGTTTATTAATTAAAAAATTTTTTAGTTAAAAAAATGTTTGGTCAATAACAACTATTGGACTAGTATTTCAGAAATTATTGACATTTTTATACCTAAGTGGGAGGAAATAACTAGTGATAAATATAACAACACCCGCTATTACTATAAAATGTTAATAGCTTCCAAAATACTGGTTCAAAAATTGTTAACGACCAGAAATTTTATTAATTAAATTTTGTTTATTAAATAAGCTAATTAATTATGAATGTTTCTATTAGAATTAACATATGTATAAGGTATAAGGATGAACATACAAAATATTTTATGGTTTATAAATTTAAAAAACATGTACCTAAAAACAAAAAAAAATTCAATATTATTTTTAATTTTTAATTAGTTAAATGTGATAAATAAACTGCATGTTGTTTTTATAAAATTTCAGAGAAGTTATGTCCATCCGAGCACCCAAGTTCATGTCTATGTAAAAGGATGAGATGGTTATTATTAAGAACGATCGTTTGAATCAAATAAAGATTTACATTTAAATAAAAATAGCCAATTTGTTACTTTTGTAATGGTATGTTATACAATAAACAAACTACATTTACAACATAATAACATCAAACCTAATATTTAATGAATATCACTTTATAGTGAATCTAATTTTACTTTTTTATATTTATTTAACTTTATAAAATATATAAGAAAATGATACAATGGGTTTTAAATCCTGAACAAAGTAAAAGGGTTTGGTTATTAGAAGTTAAGACAGAAAGACAAACCTAGTTAACACCGGTTTCAAAAACGAGGTCATTATTAAATTATATCAGGTAGAGCACCTGGTCGGTCTGGCATAAATACTCCAAGTTAACTCTATTATTCTGTTTTATTTCGAGCAGAACTATTTCGTTCAAATATCTTTACTCACTTGTATACTATTTCTTAATTGTGGTCTTAGTTTATATAACAAACAAAATTAATATAACAAAAAGTAACTTGAAATTGAAAATAGCTATAAACTAAGCACAGAACTAATTCAAACATATTTTCAGCTCTATTAGTTTGAAAATTTAAATGGATGAATTTTTTATAATTATTATATACTAAAAACAAAATATCTGGGAGTTAAAGCGAAATTGGAGTAAGTCAATTTTTATCATTTTTCAGAAGAGTCGTTTGCAATAATTCAATCCCCTAAGAATTAATATAAAATGTAGATTTTAAAAAATTCAAAATATTGATTTATGAATTAATATTATTATAATAGTTAATACTTAATTTAAGTTTGAACTTTTTATTTTCAGTTCATATTCATTTTACTAAAAATTGACTCGTATCACTTTTGCTCTTACTCCTACATACATCATAAAATTGTTTTACTTTTTTTCAAAATTGTTAAATTTTAACTCATAATTTTGAGATTCAATAACTTTTTAAAATAAAATAAACTTTTTTTTTACGTTTAATCAGTAGAAGGTACTAAAAAATTGTAGCCCTCCTATCCAGGATTACGTTTTAAACTAAAATAATATGAATACTACAAGAAGGCGTCATAAAAGTAAGATATCATTTTATATATAAAAACTGAAAACTAATAGAGTGTATTGAACTGTCTCATGATTATTATGTTTAAAAAATATTGACGACTGCTGATATTGCTTATTTAAGATTTAAAACTTTTAATAGTTTATATTAAAAATAAAAAATATTCGAAGATGCCCATCACTAGTTATTTCGATAACCATTTCGCCTTATCAACAAATCAATCGGTCGTACATTATGAGACAATAACAATAAACAATTTTTAAAGTGATTATCTATTTAATGTATAATACAGTTGTGTTTACATTACAAATTATTATATGCAGCTTTACAGATAAATACTTTCTACATAGTATACGGCCCTCTCTTTAGGTTCAGAGTTTAGAGTAAATATGTTCGATAAGAGGGCACCAATAAGCAAATAAACTAACTAGCGATATGTAAAATACTTTCTAAGAGAAATGCGGTCACCGCATTTAAAGTAGGGGGGTCACATTGTGCAAAATACTAAGGGTTTGATTCGTTCCAAATTTCACGCGCCTGTCGCTTTACCGGAGTCATTTCGGTCAAGCCTCTGCACTATTCTCTCTCTTCTTTAGATTACAGAACATATACGTGAGTTATATAATGTCTAATTTATTTTTATTGTTTTCAATATTATATACAACAGTTAAGAGTATAGTGATTTTCTAATAAAAATATTAAATTAAATAAATAATACAAATAGAATTAGATTAATAATAATATACAAAATTTGATATCAATTTAAAATAAAAAATTTTGATCTTTGCCATGCAATACTAATCAAGTTAAATCTCATATCTAAAAAATAATTTAGAAAATGTTCAAGAAAAGTAAATAGAACCCAAAACACCCCAAATATATTTCTGAAGTGTTAAAAATACATCTATGATAGTTCTTTGGTATATTTAATCAACACTAAGAAAATAATAAATGTATCCTATACGTATCAGTGAAATAATTTCGATAAAATATTATATGAATACATTAGACTATTAAATAAGCGTACGATGGCAACTGATTTGAGGTACGCTCTATTAGTAAGTAGGCCTCAGACGCTTTATTATTATCTCCTAAGTGATGACTATGGTTATTATTTTAAAATTTGGAAAAAAACTTAAAAATAATGATAAAGATTACTTTAATTATAAAAATGATTAAAAAATCGAAAAATTTCCAAAAACCGAAAAATAAACTCAAATATTTAAGAGTTAAATAGACAAAAATGTCGATTTAAATATTTGAGTCATTATGATGCATTTATTGAGACATGAATATTAGTCTTATTTTGTTATCTTATTATTATTGTTATAATTATCACTAAGGCATTGTATCACAATATAATATTATTGTATTTAATCTTGTACTGATATTTTTCTCGTAATAATTAGGGACAACAATTGTAAAATTAATTGATAACTGCATATTATCATATATTTCTTATTATCTTATATTATATTATATTAAATGACTCCCAATGTTAGATACAAAGCGTTATTTAGGTAAAGAACCGCCAAAAATAGTCGTAATATCACTATTTTTGTATTGTTTTTACTCCCCATTAAAAAAGCTTATGAACGGGTATCATGTTTATTCGTGTGTTGCAAAAATAGAGAATTAATTTTAATTCCAATTTATAATTAAAAATACATTTTTTAAAGTTTAAATTTTAATTATAACATGAAAATAACGACACCTTATTTAAATTTATTACATAATGGATTCTTCACGTTGAATACAACTTATTTATTTGATAATTTAAATTATGAAATTTAATTTATAATTGAAATGGTACACATAAAAAATACTGACTAATATTATTTATTTTAAGAATACTAGGCCAAAGTTGACCGTATAACTTCATTTGTTAAGCTTTAACTAATATTTAATCTAATAATTCATTCATTTCTTGTAATATGTAAAAGAATACACATCAATAATTACAATTGTTCTAAATAAATAATATTTTTTTGAATAATAATTTAAAGTTTCCTGTTACCTATTTCAATTAATGTAGTTTTTAATATGCAAATTTAAAAAAACCTAAAATAATATCAGTTGGGACAATTTGGTCACCGGATATGAAAAAAGGTCAATCATTAATAATTTATGTTAAATTTTATGGTAGAAAAATCAGGTTAATAATAATTATAAGTGTAAATTTAGTAAATAAATGAGTACATGTTCATTTTGTGAGTTATATTATGCTCTTTGCCTTTATATGACATACCCTAACAACGTTAGGGGTATAATCTGAAAAAAATGTTTATTTAATATATTGAAACATCATAAAATTGCTTTTTAAAAATTTGTTGATATATATAAAATATGTTAAAATCTTTAAACAGTTAGTATTTGCTGAGAGTATTATTATATATGATTGTTTGAATTAAAAAAAAAGCTTCAAATATATACATAATTACTACTAGTTATAAAATATTAATAATTATTATCATGAACGTTAATTTAATAAAAAAAATTGAAGAGCTAAATTGACTTTTCATTTAACCTATAAAATATTGTTTATACTAATACTGTTCTTTTCATAATTTGAGAGGATTTTACTGGAATTTTTAAAATTGTAAGCTTAATAAAGCCCTTTCAAATTTACGCCTATGTAGAAATTTTAAAAATAAACCAAATACAAGTTTACATAAAAGCAAACTATGTATTAAATGTTTATAAGATAGTATAGCTATTAATAAATTTTGTCTAATGAATGTGTCTAATTGAATTCTATTCAAGAAAAAGATACGTCGTTCGGTTAATAGTTAAAATTACAGATATATAATAAATATATTATATCCATGTTTACAGTTGATTTCTGACGTTTCAGACTCATTGCAGAGTCCATCTTCAGAGTGATAGTTGCTAGTCGGTGGCTGCAACTATTCTGGCTGCAATGAGTCCGAAACGTCAGAACTCAACTGCAAACATGGATATATCCTCAAGCACTTCAAGCAACAAGACAATCCATGAAAGTTTTAACACATTCATAAATATATTATAATTAATACAAAATAATACTTTTAATAATATATCTACGGTTATAATATATTCATTGGAATTCTATAATTGTTTTATAAAAAAAAAAAACAATAGCAATAAGAATATAGTAATACTTATAAAAATAAAGTTATTACTATGTTCATTTACATTAAAAACAAAACTTAAATAATCGATTCATGAATTTAAAAACATTTAACGAGTATAAATTATTACATTTAAATGGTCAAAGTTGCGTATTTAGACATTTTTTATTGGGGGAATCTAGATAAATTTCAAAATGAAGAAGAAGAGGCTTTCAGCTTTTATAACCCCGCGACCACAATTTTTATGATAAGACTCTAAGGGCCCCCTCCCCTTAATGCGCCATTGAGTACTCATGAATATTTAAATGAAATGTAATAAATAACAATTAAAAAAACTAAAAACACTACAAATTTTCATTAAAATATTTATATTTAATATAAATATTATAAATTTATTTAATATATCTATTAATCCTTCAAATATGAAAACAAAATATATTCGTTAAAATACTATTTATATTATTATTTAAAAGAAATTCATTAAAATTATATATCAATAGTTGTTGATATATACTTTGACAATGTCTAATACAGTAAGTGGGAAATTCTATTTAGTGTCCTGTTTTATCATGTTGACCTAAAACTGTATAGCGTCAGAGAGTGTAAATAAATGCGCGTATTGCTATGTACACAGTCCGTGTTATTTCACCGCCCACTAATGACTGTTTGACCTCATGAAATCATTTCATTTGCTCTATTATTAAAGATAGAAGGCACTTTTAGAATACAATAATTCACTAACATACTTTAGTTTTAAGGAGCCAGAGGGAATATTATATGATTTATAATAATACATCTAAATGCCAAAGGTTTTCCAAAAACATTTTTTGTTATTATAACAAAAGGTTCAAAATAGTCACACCTATATTTTTCTCATACACGCTATTTTAAAGAATAGATATTATTAAATAATATATCATTTGATTAAAAATACTATGTAGTTAAACTTCAACAGTAAAATTAAGAAAAAATTCTCTCAATCCGTTTGGTTAAATATAATTCCCAAAAAATTAACAAATTGTTGAAATAACAAAATTGGGTACATTTTTTTTCAACTCATAAAAACTTACTCAAAATTACTTTTTGAAAAAAAAAGGTTTATAAAATACATTTGTAATTTTTCTTAAGAAATACTCTAAATATGTTTTTCTTATTTGAATTTAAAAAAGTAAGAGACAAAAGTTTAGACATAATGTATTTGAAAATCCAACCATTAACCTAATTAAAGTGGTTAGTTTAATTTATCAATTTACCCAAAAACTTATATAATCAGTAATTTTCTATTGAAAAAAAAAAACAATTTACTGTTGATTGTTTTTTTATGAGTAAAAATTTTAAGTTTGGTAAACTGTTATTGATTATACATAATGGGATGATAAGGCAATTACGGGGGTAGACTTACAACAGATTGTTAATGTATGCGCCTCTGTGGTGGCATAAAGGAAGTGAGCATCTAAGATTTTGTAAAGTTCAAGGCTTATAGTTTATATAGTTTCATTATACATATAACTGAAATGTAGTTTTTTTTCTTTATTATTTTTTTAATTCATAATAACTATTAAATTATAACATTATTATTATTTATAAAAGAAGTACACATTACTAGCTTTGAAAATTTAATGTAAAATTTTTATAAAAACATATTTTTTCTTAAAGTTATTCAAATCATATTCAATTATGTTATAATTATAATATGTAACCTATAAATATCTACTTTGTAGTGATTGGAGAAAATGTGGGATAAGAAATGGAATGCGAAAAACTATAATGTAATATAAGCTAATACATTTAAGAGACTAAACACTGAACTATTATAGACTACTCTCTCTACTGTTTGTCAATTAAACCTGTGAATTCAATAATTAATAATTATAGGGATAATTTCTGTTATACTCATAATATACCTATAAATATCTTAAATACCTCATAATTATTATAAAGTATTTAATAAAATTATAATTTCACAAAATATATAAAAACTTAATGAATTTTTTTAAAAATTTTATTGCAACCATTAAATAAATTTTTAAAGCTAAAATATTAATTTTTGTTAAAATATTATATAACAAGATGAACATCTTATTTATAATTATCAAGGTACAGAACTTTAAGCAAATATATATATATGTCAGAAAAGTGCACATTGATATTGATTTATTTTATTTTATATTTTTATCTAAATTAATAATTGGTTTGTTAAAGAATTTGCATAATCTATTATTACATTAAAAAAAAATTATATTCTAGCGAAATAAATGTAATTATTCAAATGCTTTAATTTGTATGCCAGAGGTAAAATATCAATCAGAAGTTCATCAATTTTTTAAAAAGGATGAAGAATGACCATTTTCAAATGGTAATTTAATAAACATTTTAAAAAAAGTTGGTCTTTAAAAAAAAATGGACCTGTGATAACTATCCTTTAGCATACAGATGTAAATTAAATGATGAAACTTATATTTTGGAATGATTAAATATTCACCTACATAAGGAATCTAACATCAATATTTAAACTTTATCAACAGAGATACTTGTAATAAAGGCCAAGGATACCAAAAGATATATTTTGAACATTAAAAAAGTAATTAATAACTGATAAAACAAAAAGTATATAAAACTAAAAAATACAAACAATTTGTTTATAAATGTAATTATTTTAAGAGAAATCAAGTGACTAGTATTTAAATAATCATGTTAACTTGGAACTTAAAAACTAAAATTACCAAAATTTTAACTGAGTTATAATTATTCAATTCCTCTTTAAATATTTGGCCAGCCTTAAAAGAATCACTGTGTATACAGATTTATTCACTTATCATGAACCACTTAATTAATTGGAAAATAAAAATAATATTAATAAATATTTTATTTGTTTTTTTTTAGTTCAATGTTTTTCTCAAATTTTTTTTATATTCATACCTTATACCTCATAAGTATGTAAACTTTAATTTTTCAAATGACAACATCCCTAATTTAGCTTAATTAATAGATAATGATATAATTAGGAAAATAACTAACATATTTATATGTAGGTAAGAGAAAGAGAATGACCAGGGAATGTCTATAATAGTTATAAAAATAGTAGCACCCACTCTTCAATTCTGGTCAATACTTTAAATTGTTTATAACCTAAGAAAAACTGGTAAAAAATTTGTTGTCACCCAGTCATTTTTTTAATCAGATCATTGTCTATTAAATAAGCTAGTTAATTAGAGGTATTTCCATTTGAAAAATTAAAGATAACATCCCTATAATATATATATATATATATAATATATATTTTGGCCAACCCCAAGAAACTATATTTAGGTGGTATAGAAGATTCTATGAAATATTATATTATGGACTTTTCGGTTCATTATGTAAATTATAAAGTATAAAAATATTCAATTCATAAAATAAACCAAATAAGGAGTAAAATGGTATATTTTAGAGATTTATGGGAGGTATAAATTATATTATACAGAAATGTATATTGCATAAATAATTTAATACAGTTTTATGTTTTTATCCGTATAATATAAAATACTGTTGAATTTTCCTATTTATAAAAGCAGGACATATACATTATTCGTACATAGAACTGATATACAAAGTAAATTTGGCAATAAAAATAAAACATATAATTACCAGAGTGTAGAAGATGACACATCAATGGTTAAAACTGTTTGCCACTTTCTGTAAAGAAATATTTCCATAATTTATGTCATCATTTTAATTATAACAATAAAAATATATAACAAGGAGTAAATATATCCAAAGAATCATAGAGTAATAATAATAATTTACATTTACCAGGTAATCTTTTCTTCTTTCAAAATCATTAAGGGATGTTCATTTTTTCACAAAAAAACCTTGACACTATTGTAAATACCAATCGTGGTTATAAATAATATTAATCATAAAATAATAAAAAAGTATTCTTTAGACTAATTAATTTACCAAAAAATAATAGATAAAAACGTCAAAATATAATCTAAAATGTATTAAATATTATACAAATGAAATGTTATTAACATTAATAATATTATTATTACTACTAAAATTATGATTAAAAAAAAAATAAGCAGCATGATAGTATAATATTGATATTTTGTTTATCTACAGATAAAGATAATAAACCAGATTGCTTACTGGTGATAACGGTTGAAGCCAAATATGTTTTCTATACTTCCTATAAAAACACTTTTTTATCAACAACTTTTTACTCTGATAACAAAAATAAAAGTTCAGGACAAAAATGTTTGGCCTAAAAAAAGGATTTTGGTTTCACCGGAGAATACATGTAATACAGGCCAGTTAGCAATAGAGCTAAATTAATCTATTACCTACGACGGATTCATACGAATCACCTTTTCTATTATCACAAAAGTAAATTCCACAGACTTTATAAACTACTTTTGGTCATATAACACATTTTACTTATCAATTTTGAATTATCAATGCGGCATTCAAACTGTAAACATCAAATTCAGCAAACTAACTTTGTTATTCAATCAAAATTATTTAAGTAAAGCATCTTTTACAATTTCTTGAAGTACAACTAAAAATTGAATTGAAAGAGTTAAGAATTTATGTATAATGTCTATAGAAATAGAGTCTGCAGAGTAAGAATTACTACATAAATGTTAACTATACATTTTTTACTTTTATAAAATAGAAATGCTATTCCTATAATTATGTTTACACTTAATTAAATTTAAAAAATTATTTTCAGTGTCATTCGACTAATTCAACAATATTTGAAGGAATCAAATTTGATGAAATCATTACAAACTCTCCAAGTAATCATATTACTTCCATTTATTATTTGAATTAAGTTTTATTAAAATATAATGAAGTATAATCTCTCTAAAATATGAATATCTTTTTTACTAAAATAGTTGTCTATGACAAAGTATTGATTCAGTTAGAGTATGTGTTGTGGTTTAATACTTAAAACAAATTTGTTAGATTTTTTCTCTAATTACTAATATCTATAAATTTTTTGTATAACTTTTCAAAGTGGCATTTGATATATTGATATTTTTAGGAAGAAACAAGTGTATCATTAAATACTGTTGATAGTATTGATGGTTTTGTTGCTGACATACATAATGGACATTGGGACACAGTACTTAAAGCAGTACAATCATTGAAATTGCCTGATAGCAAGCTTATTGATTTATATGAACAAGTAATTTTTTTTACTTATATTCCATAATTTATTTAGTTTAAAATATTTTTTTACATCTTATATGAATCAAAAAAATTCAATTAATTATAAAAACTTACTATACTATTCTAATACAGTCTAGATTAAAATATCATAATATCTTCATTAATTCATAAATAACAAGAAATAAATTCAGTGGCATATTAATGGTTTCATCGACCCAGTTCATATTTTATGCTCCCTGAAATTCTTTGTTGAACAAAAAAAAAAATTTAACTTGCTCTAAAAAAATTTCTTACTACCCCAATTCTAATGACCCTCTAATATCTTATTTATTAAAAAATTTAGGATATGCATAAACATAAAAATATAAATTACATTATATATGTTTTTACTAGTTTTGTTGGGTACATTGGCTAAGACACTTAAAAAGTTTCAGGGGCACCCTTTTTGTTATGCCATTGGAAAGCTAACCCAGGTAGCTCCTTATGTAGACTTACCAATGAATAAATTAATGTTTGTATAACAATGAAATCCATAAGCGAAACATTTTATATATATATATATATATATATACTTATACATATTTTTCAGTATTAAAAATGTTTTCGCAAATAAAATGTTAAATGGTTAATTTTAATTGTTTAATTTCAGGTTGTATTTGAATTAATAGAATTACGAGAACTTGGAGCAGCACGATCATTACTAAGACAAACTGACCCTATGATTGCTTTAAAACAACATGAACCTGATCGTTATATACATCTTGGTTTGTTTAAATAATAAAAATTAACTTTGAACTATAATTGTCATAACAGAATACTATTGATTTTTTTAAATTTCATAAATGACATAAAAAATATAATTTATACAAATTTACTCATTCTAAAAATTAATAATTATTAACATTAAAATTCTTATTATAGAAAACTTATTGGCAAGATCTTACTTTGATCCTCGTGAAGCATATCCTGAAGGAACAACTAAAGAAAAAAGAAGAATCGCTATAGCACAGTCATTAGCTGGAGAAGTTTCTGTTGTTCCATCATCAAGACTACTTGCACTTTTAGGCCAAGCTCTCAAGTGGCAACAACATCAAGGACTTTTACCTCCTGGTATGTGTATTTTTTTCTTTAGTGTCAAAAGATTGAATATTTATTAATATATTTGGTGATTTTAGGTACATCTATTGATTTATTTAGAGGAAAAGCTGCAGTTCGAGATTTAGAAGAAGAAACATTTCCAACACAACTTTTTAAACAAATTAAATTTATTCAAAAAAGTCATGTTGAGTGTGCAAGATTTTCTCCAGATGGACAATTTTTGGTTACATCTACAGTTGATGGCTTTATTGAGGTTTATAATTTTGTTACAGGAAAAATAAGAAAAGATTTAAAATATCAAGCTCAAGTAATACTAAATATATTCAAAATATTGAAAATATTAATAAAATTCCACCTTTTTTTTTTTAGGACAACTTTATGCTTATGGAAGACGCTGTTTTAAGCTTGAGTTTTTCTCGTGATAGCGAAATGTTAGCTTCAGGATCACAAGCTGGTAAAGTAACTATTTGGAAAATTATGACTGGACAAGTAATGCGCAAGTTTGAAAAAGCTCATGTATTAGGAGTGACTTGCGTTCAATTTTCAAGAGATAATACTCAAATTTTAACAGGATCATTTGATATGACTGTCAGGTTGATACTTCTTTGTTTTTGATTACTTTATAATAAATAATTTATAAAAATAAATTGAATGTTTAAAATAGAATTCATGGATTGAAATCAGGTAAAACGCTCAAAGAATTCAGAGGTCACACATCATTTGTCAATGATGTGGTGTATACAGCTGATGGTCATAGCATAATAAGGTAAAAAATTTCATTCAATATTAAAATAATAGAAAAATATCTAATTATTTATGATATAAAATTATACCTAGTGCATCTAGTGATAGTACTGTTAAAGTATGGAGTGTTAAGTCAACAGAATGCACACATACATTCAAATCTATGGGAGCAGCAGATGTTGCTGTGAACAACGTACATTTATTTCCTAAAAATCAAGATCATTTTGTAGTGTGTAATAAATCAAACACTATTGTTATAATGAATATGCAAGGCCAAGTAAGTTTATTTAACTATATATTTTAACTTTTTGTGACAATAAAGATAAATCGACTTTGATACTATAAATACTAGTTGAGTGGATGTAAATATTCATGAGATTAGGAGGGTAAAGGTGACTTAATAATAAATTGTATAAAAAAATTAATATCTTGAAATTATGTTTGTATGACTTAAACAGTCAAAAATTGATGGCCTAATTCAACAACCAAGTAGTAAGTCCATTTTTATAAATTTGTCAAAGGCAATTCTATGAGTAATTTTTTATGAAAATCAATGGTAAGATATTTTTTTCTAGATTAAATGCCTAAAAAAATTTTAGGAACATAGAATTACATAAAAGAATTATTTTTATTCAAAATTAATAAAACATTATTTTCTAAAAAAGTTGGACTTCCCTAGTTGTTACACTGAGCTTTTCAATTTAGAAATGAAATTTTGTGATTCATTTATATAATGTAATAAAGTGTTATGTATAATTTTTATGCCTAAAAATTTAATTGTATAAATTAAAAAAATATACCTTACATGAAAAATTACAAATTTAACTAATTTTCCTGGATTTTATTTTATTCTGTATTTAATTAACATCAATATTTCTGACAGTGTAGCTCTCAATTTTTTATTGTAGCATTGTTTTAATTTTATTATCTTTTCAAAATTTTATTTTCTAAGATTGTATGTATATGTATTCTATACCCTTTTAAAAAAAATAGATATTTATGTTCTTTGTAAAAATATTCTAAGAATTCCCTACTCCGGCTCACAATGTATAGTATCCTCTATGATATCTATGTCAAAAAAATTAATTGAATTGATGTCCTTATATTTATTATGTATATTATGCATTGTAACCCAGGATCAAAAATAGCTGCATTAAAATAATGTATCTTTATAGCCTTTAATAATTAAAAATGATATTTTAGCTTTTGCAATCTTTAGATGGTCTGCTATCCTATTCTAACATTAAATAAATATGTAACTTAAAATGGGTTATTACCAATTTTTAATTATAAAGTGAAATATTAAATGTCAAACAGTTTAATTGACACCACTTAGTACTATAATTGTTTTTATTTTATATTTGCTCATCTCATGTTATCTAATGAATCTAAAACTTAAAGTTATGTGGTGCAATAGATGCATCAATCATGATATAAATTAAGTTTAAACCACACTATTTATAGGATTGGTAACCACTTATGAATATCAGCAACTATACCACACTTCCTAAATATGATGAAAATCATAAAACATCTTAAGTTGACCAAACTGGTCTATGATTAAAATAATCCCTTTATCTAAGCCTAGATTAATATAACTGTGTATTAAAAACTTATTTTGTTTATAGATTGTTAGGTCATTTACTAGTGGTAAACGTGAAGGTTGCAACTTTGTATGCTCCACAGTATCTCCTAGAGGAGATTGGATTTATGCAGTTGCGGAGGATTACAACTTATACTGTTTCTCATTAGCTAGTGGAAAATTAGAAAAAACTTTGCAAACTCATGAGAAAGAGGTAATTGGTCTAACACATCACCCTCATCAAAATTTAATATGTACTTACTGTGAAGATGGAATGGTAAGATTGTGGAAACCTTAAATTTTAAAGTATCTTCTAAGAATGTATGTAAAATAATGTTTTTTATAAATTAATATAACTTAAGTATGTAATATTGTATAAAAAACATGATAATCAATTATATCATCTTTTAAAAAATTATTTTATTTTATTTTTAAAATAACTTGTATCTTACTTACATTTTTAAATAAAAAATTTGTACATTTAATTTTTAATTCCTATTACAAGATATTTTAATTAAATATAATTTTTATCCCATTTCTTAATTTTATAGTATCTTACATAATATAAAATACTATAAAATTAAGAAAGCATATAAGTTATATTCTATGAATTTCAACAAATTAATTTTATTTCCTATCATTTTAAATTGTAACAAACTGAATTTATAGATAGCAACTTACATATATATATATAAGTATATAAGTAATTAGAAAATTATTTTTCTAAGATAATATTTTTATCTAATTCAATATCTCTTGAAGAATTTTTTTTTAGTATACTTAAAAGACACATTATAATTTTGGTTTCATTGTTCTAAAATGATTTTGTCACTTTAAGTGAATAATAAAAAATTGTTCATTATATTGAATGTAATGATTAAAGTAACTGTAGGAAAACATTTTTCAAAAATTAATATTGTTTATTTTACTAAAAAATAATTATAAATCGTCTTGAATTTTTTCCACGTCCATCAATATGTAATTATTTTTTAAGAAATACAATTGTCCTGTACGTATTGTACTTTTGGCGTTTTTCATTTTTGTTTTATGGCAATTAAATTGTAATAATTAAACAGAATATTCTTTCTTGCATTTGCTTATAAAAAAAGCTAATTAACTTACCATTAATAAAACTTGAAAATATCTTAGGACTGGCCAAATAAATTTAGCAACTATGCTCTATTCTTGCTGGTAGCTACAATAGTTAGTAATACAAGGAATTATTGTTTATTTCTGTTTTGCTCTGGAAAGTAAAACCTGGAAAGAATGGATTAGTTTTTTAAGTGTTTTAAACTCCAAGATTAGGAACTAATAGATTGTTTTATAAAGGTTAACTTTTGTATAACACTACATAACCTAGTACATTGAAATTGAAACTCAGTACCCACACATTCTTGACTGAGCTACACATAACCTCCCAAATATGACTCTATCAACTACAACAATATATATTTTGGATTTTAATTTATCATGGAACTGCTGTGTACATTCAATAAAAATTAAATGTTCATGCACAATCACATAAAAAAAAGTAAAATTGTAAATATACTAATTAAGCCTCATATCTTAAAAATAAAAGTAGAACAGATTTGTTAATATAATAACATTTATTGCCTAAATAAACTTGTTCTGTTATTTAAACTAAAAATATGATTATGAATAATCAATTTTCATTTCAAAAATGATATGTACAATAAGATAAAATAAAAACTGAATACATTTGTTTATTTTAAAAGAAACTAATATAAATATCAATAAATGTAAATGAAGATGAAATATAAAACAAAATTTAGTTCTGATAACAATTTTTTTTCATAAACATAAATATACTTTCGTAATTATTTAAATTTGCTGAAGAAAAAATCTGTAAATTCAAACTTGAATTTCTACATTTTAACAATTTTAGTTTTTAAATAATTATGTTAAACAATTATAAGAGTAAAATAATTATTTGAATATTTGAAATCTATTATATTATTTTGTTATTATAAAAGAAAAATTATAATAATATATATATATATATAATAAAACAATTAGAAAATATTAAACATAATATATAGAATCATAAGTATAATTTGTATTTAAATAATAAAGAGCCCCAACAATAAGAAGCCAATTAGAACTTGAATAATTTAACTAAAAAAAAAAACCCATATTGCAAAGTAAAAAAAGATCTTTAGGTTGTTTATTCAAATGGCAGACAAATTAAAAACTCAAGCAGATGCATTACAGCAGAACTGTTTTATTTGGAATGCAGCTGAATCATTTGTGTTAGTTGTAGTTGCATCTATCCTAATTGGTTTCATACATACTTTGTCAATCTCATCCCCATCAATACTATCCATTTGACGAGCTGATACTTTGCGATGGATTTCTGAAAAAATAAGATTTTTTTAATATTATTGTTAATAATTTTGATATTTAAGTCATTTTATAAACATTTTATTATGTAAAAATGCATTTATATAATAAAAGTAAATTTTAATAAGCAAACCTGCCTAAAACAAACCTGATTTATGATGATTGGCAGCATTGCTTCCTGACATTGTCAGAGTTCACTGTAGGTTTGACATCAATTGGCTCAATATTTGTTGGCCGTATTGTGTCACCTTCAGGCGGATCTCTCATTTGCTTTTGAGATACGATGTTATAAATTTCTGATCAATATTGAAAATGCAAACAAAAAAAATAATAAAAAAAAATAACTACTCAGTTCTAAAATATATATGCATATAAGTAATGTATAATAATATATATATATATTTTTATAATATTTCAATATAGTGAAAAAACTATAAAATATTAAATAGTGACAATATACAAGGTGATTAATTAACTATACCTCACGCAAATTTTTAAAAAATATAAAATATTATAATTTTTTTTTTTTTTTAGAGGTTTATTTGTTTCTCCTTTTGGTAATATTAATTGAAAATTTTAAAATAAAAACTTATATGTTTAATTACAGGCGAAAGAGGTGTAAAAAATGGTGAATTTTAATCTGAATGTTATGGTAAAATTAGAGTGTCATTAAACATTAACCCGATCCTGAGCTTTTCTAAATATGAAAGTATTATCATATCAAAAAGTGATAATACAAACCAATGTTTATTTTTACTTTTTTTTAATGTTGTTAGAAAAAACCATTGAAAGGTTACAAATAATATAAATAATTATAAAAAAAATTGAATTACTCAATAATACGTTAAATACATAAAATTGTTTTCTTATATCTACAATATTTAAGAAATGAAAGCTTTTTACTTAAATTTAAACTAAATAAATTAGAGGTTTTTGTATAATTATCTATTATAAATATTTAATATATTATTTAGGTAACATAATTTTATTTCTTTTGACTTGTAAAATTGAGTTTTTTTTTAATTTTTATGAATACATTGAAAAAATTAAACTACTATGTAAAAAAATAATTTTATGCAAGCCAGCATTTTAATAAATGTACACAGTAACTAGACTCTAAGCACCATCATTAATGATACATTCTGCAGAAATACTATTTTTCTATATTAAAAGAATTTCACCCCTATCTACATATAAAAAAATGTTTGTTATTTTACTAAGGTAAACAAAAAATTAATGTCTAATTTAAATATAGTTTAAGCCAGAAAAAAAAATAAAGGTAGATTTAAATACTGTTCAAACATAGTTCTAAGTAATTTTTACATAGAATATAACAAAACGATAAATTTTCATTTATTGTTTTATGACAGTATTACAATATCAGCATGGAACAGATCTAACTAACAACACTTAATACTTTTATACAATTGAATCATCATTTTGCTCTAATCTTTATATTTATAGAATACATAAATAGATTATTCTTTATAATTTACTTTTAATAATTCATTTATTTAACAATGTTAGGAGGAGAAATACTCTTTGGGTTACAAGCATTTTAATACTCTTAAAACTACATTTTTAAAATAAAAAATTTTAAAAATTTAGTCCGTAGCACGGTAGGTACAGAATTATAAATATACAGCAGTATGAACGAACTTCACACATCTGTACTACATCATCACTAAACTACATACTTTGAACATAAGTAAAATTAAAACTTTTATTACATACAACTTTAATAAGTTTTAAATTTGTAAATTTTATAAACAGTCATTAAAGTTAAACAATAAATATTATTTTGGTGTAAAAAATCACCGTTTACCGTGTTATTATAACTTTCTATTTCAATTTTTGATTCCTATAATATATTAGGTTAAATGGTATAGATCACTTTTACAAGACAAAAATATAGAAATTATTTAAAATATATAAATATATTCAGAAAGAATTTTTGCAAGATTTAATGTCAATCTAATATGTATTATTAAAAGGAAGAGAGATGCCATTCTAAAAAATTGTTCTAGCAACCAATGACTTATGATAACTTACAATTTCAATTTTATAACAAAAATAATAATTATCTAACAAAAGTCAAAAATATTTAATTAAGAATATAATTAAGGAAATGGGAGTTAATGTTGTTTTTAACATAATTAAAAAAATTCCTTCTAAATTTAAACACCGTCTATAGATAATTTATGAGATAATTAAAAATAAATAATAAAAAATATATTTTTAACATTGTCTTAAATGCAAAAAATTATTATAAAGTAATTATTAAATCAAAAATTTTATGAGTTGTCAGTTAGATTCGTTCTATTACGTACATAATATGTATGATGATTATACTATATTTGACTAGCTAAATTATTATAGAATTTTGATTATTAAAAAAATTAAATACTAAGTTTCAAAAAGTTTCAAAAATTTATTCATTGATTATTTCGAATTCATGCAACATCATCATAATACAAGTGATTTTATAATATTAAGCCACACATTATGATCTCAAACAATACATTTTTTTCTGGATACTTTATTTTTAAAGCAAATTAATTGAATTACATTACAATTAACAGAAAAATAATGAAAAATGGTTGTTCTTTTAGTCAATAGCTCAACTTATATTAAACAATGATATAACAAAAAAAAAAATTTAATCATTNTATATATATATATATATATCAATAAATTACTAAAAATGATAGCGAATAATAAAAAGTCTATATTAAAATATATAATCCAATTTATATTAGAAGCTGATTAGTTTACTACATCTTTTACAAAAAATATATTGTTTTTGTACATAAAATAATTTTATCATTAATTATGATACAATTTATTTCTATTATAAAATCTAATATTTTTGTTATTTTTAAAATATTATGTTTTAGTACAATTATTCCTGAGCCAATAGGCAATAAGCATCAAAATAGTAGTTTTGAATTATGTTGTTTTTTTTTTTTTTTTGTCAAATTATTAAATAATAAAAAAATACTGAATATAGTCTAATACATTTCACTTGGTATATGCTGCTGTATAATTTGGTTAATTAACATTATAATAATTAGTATATGACTAATACGCTTATTTTGCTTAATATTAACTATAAATTTGAAAATATACATAATTTAAATTGTATGTTTATCATAAAATTAATTTTATTTACTTTATTTTTTTTTAAGTAACAAAAAATGTACCTTAAATCTTAAAGAGTTTGGTAAGAAAATTACTTTTTAATTTTTGGCACTTGCTTGTTTTTATTTATTTTTAAGCTTTATAGAATGTTACTTTAGTACCAGCTACATTTATATATGCTAAGCTCTGTTTATTTATTGATTTAAAGCCCAAAGATTAACAATCTTTTTAGAAGTAATGTAATTTATTTTTAATTAAAATTATTTTAGCTTCAATTCATAGCTGAAAAAGTATATTCACTTATTTTATGATAAAAATAAACAAATAAAGTACCAAATCATTTCACTGATACAATCAATTGATAAATGTGTGATTAAGAAACTCAAATAAATTAGTAAACTTTTGAATACTAAATATTATACAAGAAAAATAAAGTATTATTTAAAAGTTCTATTATAAAACAATAATTAAATTAAAGTGTGCAATATTATCAAATATCATCTACATAAAACTGCTAGAATACTTCTAACTGAAGTTTAAAAACAAAAAAAAAAAGTTAAAAGAACAATTTTGTTTTACCTGTGAGAATATTCTCAAAAGCAGTTTCAACATTGGTTGAATCAAGGGCAGATGTTTCAATAAATGATAAATTATTGGCTTCTGCAAATGCTCTAGCTTCATCGGATGGCACAGCTCTTAAATGACGTAAATCAGATTTATTACCTACCAACATAATTACAATATTTTGATCAGCATGATCACGTAATTCACTTAACCATCGTTCCACATTTTGATAAGTTAACTGTTTGGCAATATCATAAACTAATAATGCCCCTACTGCACCTCGATAGTATCTAAAAGTATACGAAAAAAAAATTTCTTAGTATGAAAATTTGTTTTAAAAATATAGAAATATTTACGCTGATGTAATTGCTCTGTATCTTTCTTGACCAGCTGTATCCCAAATTTGGGCTTTAATAACTTTCTTATTGACCTAAAACATAGATAATTTATATGTTAAATTTGCTTTATTATTGCTCCCCCTTGTACCCACGCTTACTTGTAACATAAAAAAAAACATAGGTGAGTAAAACCAATAGCTTCTTAGCTACAACTCAATAAAAGGAAATATATGCAACAGCCAAAAAAAAAAAAAAAAAATTGATACATCCTTCTTTTCATTATTTAATAGGCTGCTTAAATAAACTCGAGAAATAATAATCATATCAATTGCTATTTAAAGAGTATTTTGAAGTATTTTGAGAAGAGCCTTACTAATAAAAATTAATTCAATTTCTACAAATTTCTAAATTGTACAATATAATTTATAATTATAATCCAAAAGCCAGTATGACCTAATTATCAAAGATTATTTTGTGAAAGGAAATCACTAAAATTTTTTTTAGCTTCGATACGAAGCTGAAAAGGTATTAATTTTACTATGATGTGTTTTTTTCATGTATTTACTTATATATGCAATTATTACTATACTTCATTACTTAACACATTTTCAAATCATCTTGGTCACTAAATTAAATCATATCAGTCTATTCCAAAAATATTTAAATTTTACTAAATAAAAAAAAATACATTATTTAAACTTCACTAGTTATTATTTACTTTTATTAATGTGTACTCAGGATTTTTCAAAGAAGGAAAGACTAAAAAAAATTGTAGTAACTTTTTTTTTAAATATTAATTTAACAATATTTAATAAAGGCTAAAACCCCTTTTACTCCCTCATTGTTTTATTTTACATGAAAAATTCCAAAACAATCCTAAACCATAGAAAATTGCTAGGTTGACACAGCATTCCATACCAAAAATATAACTTATAGTTTTGTAACTCAAAAATCTGATTAGTAAAATGAATATTTAAACAACAAAACTCTAATTAGAGTATTAGTATAGTTTCTATTTTAAGCTATATATTATAATATAAGTATATTACTTTGATGCTTCTTGTTGCAAACTCCACTCCAATAGTAGACTTTGATTCTAAATTAAATTCATTTCGAGTAAATCTAGCCAATAAATTACTTTTACCTACACCTGAATCTCCAATAAGAACCACTGAAACAATTAAATATTTTTAAGTTTAATTTTAATCATATAAATTATATTACAATAATAAGAAAACATATATAACAATGTATATGTTGAAATCTTCACTTCATAATAAATTATTAATAATAATATTAAAATTTCATTTTTAATAAGTTGTTTTATTTGACTTTCTTATAGGAATGAAAATATTTTAAGCATATTAGCATGAAAGTAAAACTATACAAATTCAATTGAAAGAGTGAAGGAAATGTATAATAGAAGAAGAATTTCAAATATTATAACATAAGTATCTGAAATATTTAAAAAAAAATACAAAATCTTAGAACTCAAATACAAAACTTATGCGTTTTTCATGCCACTGCACTATAGGTTCATGTAATGTAAAACTAGAATATCAAATTTATTTTAGTTGTAATGCAATTATCAATAATTTTTTAGAAAATCGAGTGACCAATTTTTTTATAAGAAAATTTTGCAAGAAATATCATAGTATAATTTATTTTTAGTTTTTATAATTTCTCAATAAGCTATTATATAAAATCAATACTATGAAAAGTAGAAGTATGTAAAAATAATTTAATTATAAAATAACACAGGACAACTGCCATTTTTTTTAATTACAATTTTTATATGAATTCTAAATATCTAAAGCCAGATTTGGAATTAGCATCAAAAATTTTTATAGAATACAAATAAAAAATGTGGGCAAGAAAACATTTCATATTATTTAATATTGTAATTTTTAAGGAGAAATTAAAAATTATAGAGTAGTTATATATTTCGTTACATAGATTATTTTTAACATATTAAATATCACAATCAATTTTTATATGAAAATACTAGTTTTTACAAATTAGTAATTATCTTAAGAAAAGAAGTGATGTAAAATAACTAATTGCAGGTTTGATATCAGTGCAAAAATTTGATTAGCAAAATATATTATGGTATATGCTGATTGAAAAAATATTTCATTTTTCTGTGTAACTTAATATAAAATCGAATTCTATACTCTTATTGTTTGTGGAGTTATTTAATAATAAAAATACATACTTTAAATAAAATATTTTTATTTAAAACAATTTTTTTTACTGTGACGGCCAATTTTTTATATTAGAACAGTTGCCCGGGCAACTTTTTTCTATCTTATAGTACATTTTAAATCTTTAATTTGAAGAGCACAGTCATTTCTAAATATTATCTAAAATTGTGTTGTAGTTAGTTTATTCATTGGATTGACATAAAAAAACACACAATGAAAGAATATTTTATCTAGGATACTCATTTTCAATAGGATTAATGTTTTTAAAAAGAAGATATAGCACTTTTAAAATTCAGAAAATATTTGTTGAAATGTCATTTCTTACAGTAGCATAATTTAATATTTAGTTAATAAATAAGTTCAATTAGATTAAAATTTAGTTCTTTTGACGTATTTATCATTAAAATAAGTCCAATGAGAGATGAGAATTTTTCGGACAGAAAATTTGGAATATTGGAACACTGGATGTAAATTACACAAATAGTCAAGGAACTAATAAATAACAAAGTGAAATTATAAATCTTTATAGTTACTTATCTAATACAAATCTATTATATCAAATCTAATTCGTCAATAAATACTTTAAAAACATTAAAAGTGAAGAAGTTTTATTTTGTCTATAGTTAATAGACTACAGTTTTTATATTCATTTAAGTTAATCAATCAAAATGAAATAAAAATCATACAAAGTGTTTTCGTATACGCGAAAAGAACTAAGAAAAAAGTCAAAAACATTCAATATGACGAGTGAGAACCACATACCCCAAACGTGAAAGACCTTAGTAATAAAAATGCAATAAAATTGTACATCACACAGTTATAAAGTTTTATAATCAAAATAAATATTTTCGGAAAAATTTAATTAGGGGTGATTAGCACCCTAACCATCTATTTTGTGATACGTCAATGCAGTTAATATTAATATTTTAAAAACATTTTCAAATAAATTTATTAACCAAAAATTTGTTAAATATTATTAAAATTCAAAAATTTAAAAAAAAATAAAAAACATACTTTTTTTTTTAACTTTATTGTTTATTTTAATTACGAAGACCAATTCAGTTGTATATATAAAATATTTATGAAAAATAAAATTGTATTGATTTATACATTTTTAAAAAAGTTATAGCAATATAAAGTCAAGAATTTCAACACAAAAATAGCATATTTTTAACTAGTAGATTAATTAAATTATTTATTGAAATTATTTACTTCAATCAATAAATTAAATATTTAATATATTTTTTGATATATATATACATATTTTAAATATAATATTAAGTACATGCAATTTATACATGAAAATAAAATCACAAATGGTTATAAATATTCAATAAAGTAATTGAAGCTAATAAAATAATTTATTTTAGGGTCAAATATCAATAAATGTTCACTGCATCTTTGTTTTAAAAAAATCTAGTTCAATTGGAATGTAATTAATTCTGTAAGTAAATATTAAACAACAATCAGTCAACAGATAATATAATAAATATAATGAAAATAATTTAAAAATAATTAAGAAGTTACTTTAAGTTTAAACTATGTGAAAAATAATTTATTATTAGTTACATTAATAGATGTATTTGTGGGAAAAATAACTTACAAAATATGTATACATTATAAACTAGATTAAAACTATAAATTTTTTTTTACTTAAGTTATTAAATTATAATTTTTATTGGAATAGGGTGGCCAGATATCTAAAATAAAGAAGTTTATTTTCCAGTCTTGACAATTTAAGTCAGCTAAACTTCAACTATACCACGGCCAATTAAAATTTATTTAGTAAATCGTGTTAGATATATTTTAGAAATACAAAAAAACTGAAGAATTCAACAAAATAGTCAAATATCCATTTCACTTCAGACAAAACAATTAAAAAACAAGATTAAATGATAAATCTTAAGAAAACATTACTAGATTGAAAAGAAAAGGTGGACAAAATTTACTAAGTATATAAAAGATATTCTAATTATTAACACATTAAAAAACTAAAGACTACACCACTAATGAGATTAAATTTCTTTTATCCATACATTCATATTAAAATGAAATACCATATTTAAAATTACAAATTCTGTGCACATTACAGAATATTTTTCAATTTACTAAAATTCGGCTTTTTAATAATGTTATGGTTTATGGTTTTCAGAACTGGTTTTTCTTAATTATGATGTATACAGATATAATTTATTATCTAATATACTTATTGCTGTACATAATAATATAAATTCAAAAGTCATCTTAATTGAAAATTGTATTATAGAATTATTGTTTGTACTTTTGAAAATCTCCAATATCACCATTAATGATTCTTTGTAATTATATTCCAAATAAATGAAATTAAAATATGTATAATGATTATTTTAATAAAATTAAATTGTTGTAATTTTAATAATAAATTAGCATATTTACATATTACTTGAAATGTTTACAGATATATCCACGTTTTTAGTTAAGAACTGAATTTTCAAACTCATTGCAGAATCTGAAACGTCAGCTCATAACTAAAAACGCTGATACATCTGAAAACATTTTAAGCAATACGACAATCCACGAAAGTTTAAACACATTCATATATTTAAATATTTCTCAATTAAATTTATTACAAATAGTAAAAACACCACATTGGATTGTGCTATAACTTTATTTAAATAGAAATCCTATTACGTTTGATTATTATTTAGGACATAAAAATATAATAAGTTTCTTCATTAAATGATCATCATGTGCATTTTCTAAAAAATACAGCTACAGTAAGACTTGATTTTTTAAAACACCTTTTCTATTTCTCATTAGATCATTCTCAAATTGATTATGCCTTCTTAATTTAACACCCATATTTTATAATACAAATTCAAAACTTGAACAATAAACAAAATAATTTTATGAGATTTTTATGTTACCAATGTATTGTTTATAATATTCTGATTATAATATAAAAACCTATTTTTTATGTTAAAAACACTTCAATAATAATTTATGCAAATTAAATTTCTTTATAAATTGCTAACAAATATAATAAACTGTCCTGAATTATTACTAATTTTGCTAGCAAATATTTAAATGTTAACAGGAAATAAAGTGAATTTTTAAATATTTTTATGTTAAATGTGTCCAAAAACATAAAAGAGTTACTATTATAAAATATTAATTATGATAAATATTTTTGACTTCTTTTTTATTATATGGTTATATTTTACAAGACTTTGCTAATATATTTATTACTAATACAATATTATTTTTATTATTAATATTAATATTACATTTAAAAAAATATATATTGTAAATATATCTAAAAAAAAAATTGGAATTTGAATTTATTTCTGTAATAAAAATATATTATTATTAATAAGAGTTTAAACAATCAAAAATAACAATACAATTTTTCTATATTTCCATTATTACCACGTTAGAGCATAAGATAATTCAAGAATTAAAAATATTATATAACTATAGTAAAAGCAATATTAATAAACTGTTTTTCTTTTTTGTGTTTTTATATTTGTTCAACTTTTTAATTGAGTAAATGTGTGTAATAAATATATATATATATATATATATATATATGTATATTAGAAAAAAAGAAATTTTAATTATTTTAAAAAAAACCTAATACAAAAATGCTTTCCCTATAAATACTCATAAAAAAGTAACTCTTATAACTTTATGAAGCAATAATATTAATTTAAAAAGGAAAACATAAAATTGTTATTCTTATAAAAATTTACACATTTACAAAGAATCTGTTTACAGCACAAAATAAAATGAAAGTCGCACTTTCAACACCATTTAATAGACTTGTCACTTAACTAAATCTTGTGAAGTAAAAAAATTATTGATATTCATCTATAAGATTATGGAAGTCTATTAATATTATGGTTATTACAAAATAATTTAAGGTGTAATTAAAGGAAGATGAAAATTGAATAAATTACAATTAATAATAATAATAAGCGCAATGAAACAGAGAAAAAGTTTACAATAATAAAATATAAATGATAATTAATATAAAATTTTCTTCCGGAATTTTCGCACCGACAGTATAAATATAAAATGAATAATATATATAATACATAATTTATCGAGTAACATGATCATGTATTTCAGTATGCCATTAAATAATAATATACCTTTAAATAAATAATCATATTCTTCATCACCAGTACCCATTTTAGCAGTTTGTTATAACACTTCACTTCAAAATTGAAACGCAACAGAAAAATAGTTCGCAAAACAAAAGATTACGATAACGAACTAATGTGAAAATCAAACGTGTAAATATTACTTATAAACAAATTAACTTTACAAAACTAATTTAATCGTTAAAGCGGTTAACGTAGCACTTTAAAAAACATAGTGACTAAGGGAAACAAAAAAGAGCAGCCTTAATAATTGGAAAAATTTTCAAAATAAAAATGTAGATTATAAATTATATCTATTAAATAAAATGCAGGCAGGAAATTTTTCCCGTGACAATTCATGAAAAAACTTATGACGATTAGACGAATTAGCCAATCAGCCGTAGACAGTGTGCCATTACATGATGATTCTAAATATCTCTTTTATTCAGCATACGCCCTTGCAGTTTAATTGAATGGCGCCAAATGTTTCAATTTCATTACTTAACTAATATAACATTACATAAAGTAATAAGATTAGTAACTATTTTAATTACTTCAAGATGCTAATTAGAAGGGATTCGGAAAGCATAAATCCTACTAAAAATTCAAAAATATTGTAGTTGGTTAATCGAAATATTACGCTTCTTGTAGTTACTAGATATTTGTAAGGGCCTTATTTCAATGCATTCATTAAATATAAATAGATAGAACACGCAATAAGAAATTTCAATAAAAATCAAAAAAATTCAATCTATATTGGGCTTTTAAAACAACAGCAATGGGAATATCATAGAATTATGCTCCCGATCACTATCATTTTTGGGGGATTATAGCCCCTGAAAATTAGAGAATTATATGTATTGTTATATAAAAACTTATTTAGGGTAAGAAAAAAATATTAAAATATATTATAAGAACCCCAAAATTTGTATTCCATTTCCGTCTATTCATCCTATCAATGCATATATTTTAGCGAATACATTAATTTTTGAATGGGTAAATTTATGAGTATATTCAAATTTATAAATGTAAATATCTTTATTTTTTTATAACAATGAGAAAACAAATTACTTATAATTTTAAAATTTTGAAGTTTGGTCCACTTTAGAGATCGAATATTAGAAAATAAAATTTAATGGAGTAGGAACGTTTTTATTAATTTTATACTATCAAGCTCAATTAGTGTTTTATAAAAAAAGTTTAATGAGTATGAATATGAATAGATTAATTTTTAATGAGAAACATTCATATAATAAAAAATTATTACTTGTAGCTAATATTATTTTAAATAAAAAATTATATCAAAAATATTAATTTAATACTAAAAAATATTAAAAATATTTAACTCAAAAACCTCAAAAAAAAAATTACTTGAAATATCGCCGATACGTATTTCGGCAACATTGTTGCCATTATCAATGTGAAATACCGAAAAACCCACTCATACACATTACTATCGTTATTTTTAAATAATATTATCACAAGTTTAATAACGAATGTTTTAGTGAACCAAAATCTTATTTAATTGAATTGCTATTATTTTAAAACATTTCTATTTGTAATTATTTACGATTTTAATTAGTTTTATGGTTTTAATGAAGTGATTATTATTTCTTAAGAAGTAAATTAAATTGATAAATCTCCTGTGGCTGGACATTTATTGATACATAATAACTCCATTAAAACCATAATACTAATAACAAGAAATGATTTTCGAACGCAAATAACTTTTTTTAACTCAATGAACAAGAATGGGAATGCATTCGTTTTTTAGGGATGACCTAAAACGCGTACCGTCCGTTTCTGAAGAGATCTTCTAAATAATTTGAGGGGCCTCAGTTATACTGTATAATAACTACTGACATGTATGCTATTGCCTGTCTTCTACGCCTTGTCGTTTGACTTCCACTAAATTCCAATTTGGAACTATCCGTATATTGTTAATATAATAATAACTACCTATGTATACTCCATTGGCACCCGTCCGCTGCGGCGTGTTCGCGTTGTCGTCGCGTGAAAACAACCGTCCGACCTCTTGAAATATGTTGTGCGCTCAAAAATCAAAAAGTGTAATTTACACGTATTTATACATGTATAGAATTAAGTACTAAGACTCATATACAAATAAACGTAGTTAATTAGTAACATTAATGAACCTATTTTCTCACTTGAAGTTTTACTTCAACAATTTAAAAAAAAAATATACTTTTTTTATGTCGAATTGATTAAAAACTATTTGTTATACTTAAGTTCTAATTAAGACATTAGTTCATGTCCAATTCTGAAACAAAGTTGACTAAAATTATTATATTTAAAAATGTAGAGCGCAATCAGAGAATAATTTTTAGTTTTGATCTCCTGAAAAGTAAGAAAAAGTGAGTTACTGCCATATTCATTGCGCATATCGAAATGTTCCTTACCCATTGAATTGAATTCAAAGTCTGCTATGTATATTTTGGACACTTTAATAATTAAGCAGTTAAATATTAATAACAAAAGTAAATGATTAAAAAAAAATTATGTAATAATAATTATTGTCTTTGGTAACTAGATTTGTTTGGAAAAAGTATTTTTGATTTATTTTTGCGGTTTACTCATAGTCTAAATATTATTTCATATTAAATGATTATTGAACAACAATTTTTACAAACACTTTATATTATTGGTGACGGTGATTATTATAAATAATTTTATATACCTACTTACGTAAATTTTGTAACCCTAACTCATTGATTTTATTTAAAGTCATATCAGTAAAATTTTTGCATAATTAGTGAACAACGTATATTAAAAATGAATTTATTTATTTTTAATATTGGGATTGAAGTCCTAAATAACTAGTCATCGAGAGACGGTTGTTTTATCAAATATGTATTAGATACGTTAATGTATCCGATAAGTAAAAAAATTATTATTTTTATTTTCAATTAAGCGCCAACTTAATATTTTTAAATAGTTAAAAAGTTGTAATAAATTTGTCGCGTGCGAATATTAGAGTTTTTTCCCTCAGTTTATGCAGACACGCATACATACTAGGGATGGGTGTTCGTGAGTGAGTCAACTCAAAGAGTTGACTCTTTTAGGTGAACTGAATGAGCTGAATCAGTGTGCCATGTTACTGTGACTCAATGACTCAGTGTGGACTAAGAATTGAATTTAGTTTAAAACGTTTCATCAATAAATTCTGAATCATGCAAATTGTAATGTATAGATTTAACTTACAGAAGTAGAAGTTGATGGAGTAATATTTAGGTCATCAATCGTCTCTTCTATTACATGAGTCTATTTAATAAATTTACTAATGGATGCTTAGATTTAATATGTCTAGTTAAATTTGAAGTCGAAGAATGATTATTTTTTAATTTTATACGACAAAGTCCACACTTTACATGAATATTAACTGCTTCAAGTTGAAAAAAATCCCAAATAACACTTGATTTATTCATTTTTAAATGAAATAAAATACCTTCGTAAATTAAATAAAGTGTTTCACAATTTTCGATTTTGTGTACAAGATTTATTGTAATCACAGGAAACAGCGTTGACACAATGAGAAAATTTTAAATAAACGAGACTAGATAATATGTCAGTTTTTAGAACAATATTCATTCAATAATAGACCTGAGTCAACTCATTTGAGTGAACTGATTCAAATGAACTGATTCATATCAGTGAGTCAAAAATCCCATCTCTAATACATACACTAGTAGTGTTTGAACGACCGAAAGCGTCGTCCGAACAATATTCTGAAATGTAAAGCGAGGGGCTGCAATCGTGTGCGTGCGGTTACGGCTCCTCTGCAATCTTATGTACGGGTTTTGGACAACCGCAGAGTCGTCCATACAGTAAAATATTAGTATATTACTATTTGGGTAATTTATTTTTAGAATTAACTGCGTGTACGGTCGTCGTTATCGGTTGCTATAATTGTATAATCGCCATTATTATTATTCTCATTTCTATTTTCTAAAGCGACCTTTAAAATAATAAGTGTATGTGCTTTATTTTATTATATCAAATTTGACTATTTTTTATACCTTTAACTAGCGGTATTAATTTAAAGTCCCATCCCCACCACCAGAAATGTTTAAAACTACTAAATAGATTATTGCTTAAAGAGACACTTTATGGTAAATGATAAATCAATTACACTGTAAATTTATTTAAATAACATAAATTTTTTTATTTGTAATATTTCAAGCCATTTTTAATCAACATTTTTATATATTTATAAAGTTCACAATTTTGTAAACAATTATTTATATTTTAAAATTTTTAATTAAAAATTATGGGAATGTATAATCGATTAAATTATTATAAATTATATATATATAAAATAATATATAATATAAAAAGAAAATTTAAAACTTCTATCAAATACAACATACATTTCTGCTGAAAAAGAACAAAAAAGAATAAATTTAATTTAATAAAAGTAGTGCTTGAATAATTTGTACTAAGCCGAAATAATAAACAACATACATTTTATAAATGCAATTTATTTACACTACTAATGGGCGATAAATAACAAACAGAAAAGTAACTCAACCAGATAGTCTATTAATAGCAATAATTTTAGTATATTTGAGCGACAAATTCAAACAACGGTTTTCATCAGACGGAACAAATATTTTCAAAGAGGCGATAAATTCAAATAATAGATGAGTTAATAGGAAAACTGGCAACGTGTGGAATTCATAAGCGTCAAAAATGATTTCAATACAGACTATATGAAAGCAACGTTGCCAGTTTGCTTATGAAATAATTTCTGCATCGCAAACACAACTGCGTGACTATTGAGTAAAATAGAATTTTTTCAATCTTACCATTTGCCTCCAACCTCACGTTCTCTCGTGCAATATATTCATTGTACTATATATTTATGATACTTTAATTTTGTTCATCTGATTATTTAAATTTGTCGTTCTTACTACTTGCCACGATTGACTTCAGTATTTATTTTCTCCAACATCTGTCCGTCGAATTTATTAATCAATGAATCTGTCGCCAGACAGATTGTGTAGTTATCAATTTATTGCTATACAATTGCTCTCTTATAATATATTAGTATTTGAATATGTTTTTTTTTAAATAGAGTTACTCACATGCTCATTATTACTCGTCTAATTATTTAAATAATAATAATTTCCAAAGTACTTATCTAAAAATTATTTTTTTAAATATAAGTTTTACATTTTATTTTATAAATAAGTTAAATAGGTATGTTGCCATTTAAAAAAATAAAGTTTTTACCCTTATAAGAAATAAAGAACGAACCTGAAAAGTATTTAACTATATATAAAATGAGAGATAAATGGTATTCAACATATGCAAAAAAAATATTTCTGAAATTATTTAAACTTCTATATAAAATATAAGAAACATTTCTACTAAAAAAATAATAACTTTGAAGTAGAAAAAATTATGCTTGAATGATTTGTACCAAAAATTGTAAAGCCGACATAATAAACAGCATACATTTTATAAATGCAATTTATTTACTATACTAACGAGCGATAAATAATAAATAGAAAAATACCAGATACAAACTTAGTGGTCAATGATTAATCTATTACTCTGTAAAGCTAATTAAATAACATATTATATTATATACATATAATAAATATTTTTAGTAATATNAACATTATATTATATACATATAATAAATATTTTTAGTAATATTTCACGTAATTTTTACGTAATAATTTTATACATTTATTAAGTCACAACTTTGTAAACAATTATATATATTTTTTAATTTTATATTAAAAATTATTACAGAGCAGAACCGATTAAATTAATATAAATTACAATATATATTTAGTCTCTAATAAAAGTATAAAGAAAATTTTCAACGTCCATCGAACATAGAAACAATTACTGCTAAAAATGATAAAAGTATAACTATAATATAGTATAAGTGATACTAAAAATTGTCAAAGCCGTCATAATATACATTTTATGAATGTTATTTATTTGTTTACTATACTAATGGGCGACAAATAACAAATAGAAAAATAACTCAACTAGACAGTTTATTAATAGCAATAATTATAGTATATTTGAATGGCAAGTTCAAACAACCGTTTTCAGTAGATGGAAAAATATTTTTAAAGCGGTGAAAAATTCATTGATTATTATCAACTCGATGGACAGATATTTGAGAAGTTTAATACTTTAGTCAATCGAGCCAAAAGTAGTAAGAGCGACACAATTTCAAATAAAACATTATTTCATAAGCAAACTGGTAACGTAGTGTTTATAAACATTATGAACGTTTTTAATGCTCTGTCCCTTCAGATTTATGAAAGCAGCGTTGCCAGTTTGCTTTTGATCTTATTGCTATACCACAGGCCACGCAACTGAGTGACTGTTGAATAAGACAGGATCCTTCTATCTTACCATTTGTCCGCCAAGTTGCATTCTCTCATACAGTGTATTAACTGTACTATACCCTTATAATACTTTATTCGACATATTTTTTGAATTTGTCGCACTTACTTCTTGCCTCGATGGACTACAATATTCATTTTCTCAAATGTTTGTCCATCGAATATATAAATAATCAATGAATTTGTCGCCAATTTGTTATATAGTTTTCAATTTATTGCTCTAGTGTATTATGATGGGATATGACAATTATTATCATTTTTACATTATTTCAATATATATGTTGCCATTTAAAAAAATAAAGGTATGAAAGTGATAAAGGTGAACTTAAAAAGTATTTAACCACTACTAAAAAAAAAACATTTTCGAAATTATTATTATTATAGGATAAAATTAGTGGACAATAATAAATTAATTACTCAGCTAATACTAATACAATACCCTTAAGCTATTAACATTTTTTTAGTATATTTTTCCAATAGCAATAAATAGCTGCTAATCAAAACGATTAATAGCAGTGACTGCTAGTTTTAATTATCAATATTATTACTTTTCTGACCACCTTGTTAACTGCCACAAATTACTAACAAGTCAGATTTAATGTTTTATCTAGTTATATTGATTATTAGAATGACTATTATTATTTATTAACAACGTCAAACAATAAGGATATAGTCGTCATGCTAGTATAATTGTACATTTTTAAATATTTTCCTAGAATACTCGATATCTCCCAGAAATCGAATTTTCGGATAGTTTTTCTTTTAACATCTTAAAGTAGATTGCATTAACTTTAAATTAATGTAGGTTTAAAGAAGACAGATTTTTTGAAACATTATCAAAAATTGAAAAAAAAAAAATTGTTATGATGATTTTATTCCTTCCTAGTACTTTGGTTAATATAAGGATTTTCAAAAAACGTATGTTAAAATTCGGAAGAGTAGTTTATATACCTTAAATTTGTTTTAGATTAAGGCGTCTGCCCTCTACCTTTACGAGTGTTCGGGTCGCTACACAACCATGTTACCCTTCCACCATCTCAGTGTTATCCGCCCACTGAGCGCCGTGCTGTTCAACATCAAGCGTTTAAGTCATACTATTGTAGTCATTCGTCAATTTAAGTGTTACTTTAATTAATATTACAACCTACAGCACACTCCAACACGTTATCGTGTCTCATCTTAAGTAAGGCACAATAACAGAAACACATCAAATCAAGTAAAAACCATAGTCATCCATATTTATAAATAATCCAAAATAAATTGTTCATTAAACATTATTGTTTTCATATTACATTATTATTTTTATTCTTAATATCATTTTAATTTCCATTACAATATAATATTAAATTACTAAAAATTACAATCCAATCAAAATATTAAATTATTTTAATTGATGATGTAAAATATCAAGTGTTAATCTTATATATATATTGTATAAACATTTTATAAACACTAGACATATGTAGGACTATGCTTATAAATTTGATAAACATGACGATTTCAATAAAATAACTATATATGATAACATAATTATATATGATATAAATTTTAAAACCAAGATAAAATACATTTGTATAAAAAGAGAGGAAGATTGATGCTGAATATTTAAATTTATAGCTAGTAATGAAATTAGTTATAAATATGTAATTATTAGTAATAAGATTTTCTTTAATTTTTATATTGATATTAATTATTACTACTTATTAAAATTTGTTATACATAAAAAAAATACATATATATTTATTTTTATTATATAATTCATGTATTATTAATAATAATGGAATATTTATTAATATTTCTTATATGTTCGTAATGTTTATTTAGAAAATAAATAACATTTTTAGTATTCATAAAACAGCTCATAATAAAGACACATATTGACATACAAGCATAAAGTATATTAATAGAAAAAAACAAACTAAAATATGTGTTTATTCAAAATATAATAATTTTAATCAACATTGTTTCAGAATTGGACATGAACTAATGTCTTAATTAGAACTTAAGTATAACAAATAGTTTTTAATCAATTCGACATAAAAAAAGTATAACATTTATTTTTTAAATTGTTGAAGTAAAACTTCAAGTGAGAAAATAAAAAGGTTACTCATTATTTCTGGGCAGTGCCGGAGTATGCATCGGGGCACCTGCTCCGCGGTTGGCTTAGTACACCCATTTTGTCTTTAGCCTAAAAAAAAGGTTCTTAAAAAAATTTCAACTCAAATATAGAGAAAAAATATATTACATAAACTACTGGGGCCCCCACGACTAAAATGCCCTGGGTCCCACAAAATTTTGCGCCGGCACCGTTTCTGCGGGCCTACCCAATAAAAATATTCTGGCTACGCGCCTGGTCAAGTCCCTTTTATATTTACACTATTCATTAAATATTAAGGTATTTGGCAGTATATAATTACTTTCTAGTAATTACAATGTTACATATAAATTTCTTAAAACTAAAATTTACAAAACAATTATGGGTTCACAACATTACATTACAGCACTATTGTATAGGGAGATTTTATCTGTTTGACGAGGTTGCCAAATACAGGTAAATTTCTCTAAAACTAGTAACATTTTATATTCATAAGAAAAAAGTGAACAAATTTACTTCAAATTACGTTATCTGGGTAATTTGGTATTTTTCATTAATAATAAAAAATTATGATAGCAAAAATTAATTCCTTATCAGTTTTAAAATAAAATTTCATGTTCGTTTTAAAATATACCGATTTGCAAAAACGAAAAATAGTTTATTTATGTCTTAATTAAATTTATCATCATCTTAATCAAAGTAATTAAAATGATAAATTAATATCCAAAAATCTTAATAACTTTTTTTCTGCTAAGCCCATAGGCGCCAATTAGAATAACATTTTCGAGAAAGCCAATTGTATTTTCTTCCTACTATGAAAAATACTCTACATGTATATGACAATATACTTAATTTTTATATTGTTTGAGGAACTAATTCATTAAATGAGCTCTTTGTTGTCCCTATAGCTAACAGTGAGACTAAATATTTAAAATTATATTTTGCCCTCTCTCTAAATATTTTAAATATACAAAAATAAATACTTTATATTAAAGAGCCAAACCTTTATCAAAAAGTCCAATAACCGGATACTGGACTACTGTCTAGTAATTCTCTCGTCATAATTGTACATAATGGGATCGGGGTAAATAAGGTTTCACTTTATCTTTATAAAATTTGTTATTTTAAAGCTTATACAGGAATCTAGTATCTAATTTCAATGACCTGCATAACTAAAATAAATTATATCTAAAATTAACTATTTTTAATCATTGAAAACGTTTTTAAATACATTTTAGTATCAATTTACATATTTTTTAACAAACATTCAATAAGAAAAGGTAAACAAATAAATTATAGGGACTAAACACACCATTTTAAAAGATTCAAATTATTATTTGGTTTAGACATGAAATGAATCAAATCTTTCTATTTTCTGTTTTTATATATACCGACTTACTTAGAAATTTAATATATATATATATACATTTTTTATTTGCCATAAACTCTTAAATTGACAAAAATTAAATTTATTTCAATTTCTATAACATAATTTTTAAAAACTAAGAAAGCAAAAAATATATATTACTCTTTACAAATTAATTTCAAAAAATTTTAATTTATTACAAAACATTTTTATAAATGTGATTACTTGAAAATTTTTTAAATAAAAAACATGTGTATTTAGTAGAAATATTTCAAATGTATTTGAGGTACAAATAAATTACGATGTTTATTAATCCGTTAAAACCTTTACTTTCATATATTAGCTTATCTCTTTTAGACTATTTTGTAGGTTAATATTTTTTTCTTCAAACAATATTTGCTTATCTAAGTGTTCAACATTTTTATGGGCTTCAGTCATTTCAATATTGTCATCAGTCTTAGTTTCTTCTAAAGTAATTGAATTAATAATTTTCAAAATTCTATTTCTTTTATCAGAAATTTCATTTTCACTTTCATTATTTGAAAATCCTTTACAGACATTTCCAAAGTTGTTTAAATTTTGATGATTTTCTTTTTCATCATTAGAGTCAATTTCTTCATTTTCAGAGTCACTACTTAAAGTTTTAGAAGGTGCTTCTCCTTCAATTGTACTTAGCATATGTCTAACAGACTTGTAACCACCAGCTGAAGCTTGGAGGGCTAATGCACCAGTTGGTTCTCTACCCTTTTTACGTCTGCAGATGCTGCAATTACAATAACCACGGCATGGTGGACAAACCCATTTCTTAAAAAAGTACATTTTACATTATACTATTATTTATATTAAAAAAAAATGTATACATAAAGAACTTTGAATGAGATTACTAACCGGATTTAATAGAACTTCAGCAACATCTTCGCCATATCTTTTTCCAAGACAAAAGCCACAAAACATCCCACGTACACCTCTGCATTCTTTGTAACGACAATATGACTTCTGATCTAAAGTTTTTTGTCTAAAAAAATCGAAACAGAAAAAACAAAGAAATATTTTAAAAACTCAGTGTGGTAGTTAATTATTATTTAAAATATCTATTCTAATATTTATGTTTTCCTTCAATTTTTTAATCACAACTTTTTGATATAAGAAAGGTAGAAAAAGTAATTATATAAGTTCATGATCACAGATCAATATAAAAAACCGTAATACTGTGGGTTCGTGGCATAGTGTTGACTCATGTTAAATTTATGTTAAACAAGTATAAAAATTGATGGGCTTGATACAAAACTTTTCTCAAGATAATTTATTGCTAATTATGAATAAATGGTCTACAAGGAATTTTCATCAGAGTCAAAAATATATTTTTCTAACTCCATTTTAAATCTGCAATTAAATTTTTTCCATCACCACTGATTTTTGATATTATTAAGAATTAGTTAAAAACGACTATTAACATATAAAAATATAGGTTAAAATAAAATTCAACAGCCAACGATATTATAGAATACTATAGGATATAACTAAACAGAATATAGTTCTGAATATTTCAATTGTAGTATCTATTTAAAACAGCTAGAGTTACATAGAAATGATTAATAGGACTTCTATTTAAATAATTCATTACGAAAAAAATACATTAAAAAAAATAGTGATTTTAGCAAAATTTTGAGTTTAATAGTAATTATATAAGTTCCTGATCACATATTAACCTAAAAAATACAATATTTTATTCCTCATAAAATTTTTTATTTAATGGTATAAATTTTAAGTCATAGTATGAATATTTGGGAAAAGATAATAGATAAGAGAATAAGAAATGAAACTTCGGTTTTTAAAAACCAGTTTGGATTTATGCTTGGTAAGTCAACAATGGAGCCAGTATTTTGTGAGACAACTAATAGAAAATTTTAGGGAAAAGAAGAAAAAGCTGTGTATGGTATTTATAGATTTGGAGAAAGCGTATGATAGAGTAACGAGAGAGGTTTTAATGTGGGCATTAATGAGAAAAAGAGTCCCAAAAAGGTAAATTAATATAACAGAAGATATGTATGATGGCATTTGTACCAGGGTAAAAAGTGTAAGACAAGTAACAGAAGGTTTTCAGGTAAGAGTAGGTGTGCACCAAGGTTCTGCTTTAAGCCCTTACTTATTCTCTATAGTGATAAATGAAATTACTAGAGAAATACAAGGAGAGGTGCTGTGGTGCATGTTATTCGCTGAAGATATAGTGTTAATAGGAGAAATGGGGAGGAAATTAATCAAAGGCTAGAGGTGTGGAAAAGGGTTTAAGAATAAGTAGAAACAAGACAGAGTATATACAGTACGAGTTTGATAAAGGAGAACACGAGGTAAATTCTATAAGACTGTAGTGAGACCAGCTATGATGTATGGTTTAGAGTATTGGATAGTTGACAATAAAGTAGAGCAGAGATGAAAATGCTTAGATGGATGAGTGGAGTGACTAGAGAAGATAGGATAAAAAAATGAGCATATATGAGGGAGTAAAGTGTAGTATCAATCGTGTATAAGATGAAAGAAAATAGACTTAGATGGTTTGGTCATGTTATGAGGAGAGAAGAATTGGAAGCTATAAGAACAGTTATAGAAATAAATTTTGAAGGAAGACCAAAAAAGAGATGGAAGGATGCTATTGAATGCGATATGAAGACAGCTGATGTGAGCGTAGATGATGTAGGAGATCTTGTCAAGTGGAAGTTTAAGATAAGGGTGGCCGACCCAAAGTAGTTGGGATTAAGGCGAGAAAAAAGAAGAAGAATGATATAAATTTTAAACTTTCAATCCGAGGTAGATTAATGTTTAAAAGCTCAACAATTTTAAATTATTAAGTTTCATAAAAATAAAACCTAATAGTTTTATTTTTATGAAAAAAAAAAAGTTAAAAATGACATTTTTAGTAGAAATTTTGCACTGATTATTTTTAACATATTAAAAATCAAAAATAACTTGATAAAAATATTTTTTACTTCGATGCGAAGCTGAGAAGGTATTAATTTTACCATGACGTGTTTTTTTTTTTTTTTTTTTTTTTTTTTTTTTT